ATTTTAGCAATCCTACAAATAAGTCAACCTAATTATGTGAGCTGTAGTTCCAAACTGACTCATTACAGGTATCAGAAAAGGTAATACAAAATAGTGGAGCAAACGGAAGAATAAAAATACAGAAGGAAAAGCAGTGAACTGAAACTCAGAAAACCTGAGTTCCAGTCTCTCTCTGATCCCAATAACTCAACGCAGAGCAAATCACTACATCTCTCTGGATCTTAAGGATAATTAAATTTAAGCATCTTATGATTTAAAATCTATCAAATTATTTTGAGTATACACAAATAGTTGAAGAGCTTAATTTTTACCAAGTGAACACACCCGTGAGACTACCACTCAAATCAAGACATAAAACATTACACCAGCACCCTGCAGGCCTCCCAGTCATAATCATCTTCCTATAAAGGTTATGATTATTCTGACTTCTATCACCATAAATTTGGAATCATACAAGATGTTCTTACTTTTTGGGTATGTGTTCTTTAATGTCAAGCTTCTTTCACTCAACACTGTGAGATTCAACCATGATTTTACTTGTAGTAGGCACCTGCTCTTTTTCATTGCATAGAATATTCCATTATATGAAAAAAATACACACACACACACACACACACCACTGCCTTCTTTATCCATTTCACTGTTGGGACATTTCCATTATTTCCAAATGGAGGTTATTACAAATAATACTATAAAAATTCTTGGGCATGTCTGCTAGTAAATATATGCATGCATTGCAGTGGAGTATACACCCAAGAGTGGGGTGGAGGGTCATGGGGTCAGCATCTATCCAGGTACAGTTCTAAGTACTTTACATATACTAATGCGTTTACTTCCTAACGCAACTCTATGATGTAGGTGCTATCGTTACACCCAATTTATAGAGAAGGAAATGGAGGCATAGAGAAGTCTGTGCTCTTGAGCCTGCTGGCTAACACTGCCTCTCTGTGAGGTCCAGGTATCTGCTCTGTGTAGAAGAGTATCCCTAGTACTGACCACAGTGCCTTATGTATATACAATAGGAGCTAAACAAATATTTTTTTAAAGATTTTATTTATTTATTTGACAGACAGAGATCACAAGTAGACAGAGAGGCAGGCAGAGGCTGTGGGGGGATGGGGGGGGTAAGGAGGCTCCCTGCTGAGCAGAGAGCCCGATGTGGGGCTAGATCCCAGGACCCTGGGATCATGACCAGAGCTGAAGGCAGAGACTTTAACTCACTGAGCCACCCAGGTGCCCCCTAAACAAATATTTTTTGAATGAAGTATTAGATAACAACAGGAACATCCCTATCCCCAATGACCCTTATTATATCTCAAGTGAGCTGAAAATTTTATTCTCCATTTTTGGACCTAAAGTGCAAGTCAGATGAGTTGCCCTGACCTTTGCCATCTCTTAATGCCCTACAGTGTATATGCTAGTGAAAAGGAAAATTGCTAGGGGCTAACCACACAAAAGTATCATTCCCAACCCCCTGGATTTTGCCCATTAAACTTTTAATACATAAGTCTAGCCCAACAGATGAGAAAAGAGACCCAGAAGTTAGGAGACTTGCCCAAGATCAAACTGATGTTGGAAACCTGAAAGTAGATTTCAAGTCTTATGTTAAAGAACTATTTCCAATATTGACCAGAATGACAAAGCAGTAGTACTTTGAAACTTTTTGGCAGATAGGTAAGTCCTGCTTCAAACTGATGCAAAAAGCAAAGTTGTAAATAATAGTTATAACTGGAAGAATTTAAAACACTAATGATTTAAAAGTGAGATCATTAAATTACAAAAGTAATTGAATTAAAAAGTCTTTCAAACCCAAAGACTGGAACAATCAGCAAGGACAGTTTTAACATAAGTCACTTCCCTAACCAAGGGTATGTAAAATACTATAGAAATGGGACATTTTGGTCATTTTTACTAAGAGATGAAAATCAAAATAAAGTTATCCCCAGCCTTAAATTTTGCAACTCAATGCAAGTTCTCTGACAACCTATTCCTGTATACTCCAACAAACTAAATGAAGACAACTGGAAACTAATTCTATATAAGTTGTCTGAGTGCATTTCTTTCTCCCAAGTACCTATCTACTGATAATATTATATACTCTATTTACAGGACCAGTGTCTGTATCTCTTAAGAAAACCGTTCCTGAGATCACTGCAAATGGGTTTCCTCAATGCGTAACAGAACGGAAAGAGTCTACAGAATGTTTCTACAGACAGGAAACCCCATACGTGATCCAATTTAATCAGGTAAATCTCAAATTTTTAGAAGTACAAAAATGTTTATCAGTAGTAAGATTCAATTCCTAACCCAGGAAAATGATAATTCACTTTCAGGGTGGGCATTTTCATCAGCTGATTGTTGGGATAAATCTATGAAATTTTAATAATTCCTTTTATGGACTCCTCAAAGTATGTCCACATCATTCTAGTCTTCAAAAGACATTCCTGTGGTAGAAACGTGAAGATTTCTGATCTAAAAAGGTGTGGTTTTTTCAGAATTCTGCAAACCACTGAACCAAAGTTGTTAGGACTGAAAAAGCATGTGGTAATTATATGTACCTGTCATGAACACACATACACACACAGTTTGTATCTAAAGAGCTCACTGAAAATGTTAAACGAAAATTCCCCAAAAGAAAGTAGAGCTATGGAATAAATCTCCAAATTGCCAAAACTACTAGAAAGAAGTGCTTCTGAATGAACCCATCTGAATTAAGTACCCAGTGCATGACTATCTAGTAATTGGTGTTCTAGTTGTATTTACATGAAATGCATAATATAACTTTCAGGTACTCTGTAATCCCTCAAACTAAATTTTTTTAGATCAGATTATACTTAAGACAAAAACAGAACCAAATACAATGCAAAAGTGATAGCAATTTCACCTTCTGGATTCCGTGATTTAGGAAGATAATGTGTAAGAGATAAATTCCTTTATCAAAAAGGAAAAAAAAAAATCCAACAGTTGTTTTAAAACAACTAAGTATTGGGAAGTGAGGAGGTAGAGACTCTGCAACAGACCACCACTTACCAGTGTACAGTGTATTTAACTAATTCTACTGTATATTAAGTTATGACAACCTATCTAGGTGTCCAGTTTTAACGTTCCTTGATTCAATGCCATAGAAAAACATTAGTTTTTAATCTCTGAATCCTACAGACTAATTCAGAGTAGCAGAAGATCTTTATCTTCAAGACATTAGGAAATTTCATCATTCTTCCAATCAGATCACTTTCTCTAAAGGGTGAGGACTTTTGCTAATTCAAAATTTTTAACTGGATGAATTTATGGGAGAGAACCAGTCTTCTCAGTGCACCTTAATGATTCGATGTCTACACAAGGAAAATCTTAAATAGTTTTCCATTAATACATTTGTTCCCCAGAAATTACTATGTTCCTCGCCACTGCTACTGAAAACATCACAAGGTCAATTTTCAAAACCACTTTAACAAAGACTTATTTGGTTAGATGAACAGCCTCAGAGAATCCATTTATTATTGCACTATTATCATATAATTTCATTTTTATTGCTTTTATCTTGTACTGTCTAATCCCTATTCTTTCATATAAAAGCAACTACAGAAAAGTGCATGTAGCTAGAAATCAAGTTGTATTCATTAAGCAAACAAACCATTTTTCTTCTGGCACATATTTAAAGGAGAGACTGAAGATCCTCTTTCCTTCACAGAATATCTAAAATAACTTATCTTAAGAATGTTTTAAACTAATGTTGCGCTGAACTACCACATAAGCAGATTTTAGTTTATCCTTGGACTATTTATCTAATCTTCTCAAAAAATGTACAGTATTTTAAAACAAGATCTATACTAGGGTCAACCCACAATTATCCAGGATTAGAGTCATTCAAGTTAAAAATATTTTTGATTCAACCCTGACTCTAAATTACTAACAGCTCTTAGCAAAGGGAGTACATAAGATAAGAAACTAAAGTATCTGCAACTCTACAAAGATCAGAAAGACTACTCGCAATCCAAGTTTGTTTAGGGAAAGCAAATCATTTGGAATGCATTTATACTTGTGGCTCCCATATTGCTGATAAATGTTACTGCCAAATTCCTTAAAAATTATTGCTGCAGTATTGCCTTAAGAAAACTTTGTAATACTTTCGGTGAGAATGTCAAACCTACGTTTAGATCAAATGCCAGGTAGTAAGAAATGGAAGGATCACTTAAGTTATTTTTTAACTCAAAGGGATCTACCAGTTTTTCAAAAATCAGTATCTAGTCATACAGGAACTGCTCCCCTTCCCCTCTTTTAAAGAAGGGAGTTACTTTTTTGGCATCCTTTTACTACAAACTTCTCCTTCATTATTATCTGAAACCCGTGACTCTTTTGCGGATGCACTATTTCCTGTGACTGGTTTATTTTCACTTAGTTTGTATGAGATCTGCAACCGGTACTTCCTTCTGAATATCAGGTAGCTGTTTCCCAGGGTCTGAACTCTAGAATCCCTAAATTCTCACAGCTATGACTACGTTCACATCCACAAGTTGTTCAAAAGCTCTGCCCTTGCAAACAAAAGCTGGTGGTGTCGAAGGCTCCGCGAGAACACCTCAACGTGTTGCAGGACCTCAACCAGCAGCCACCCCACACAAACCTTCACAAAAGCAGCTCCAGGCTCTGCAAGATTAAAACGGGCAAGTAGTGGGAGAAGTCCCGATTCCGCCAACCCTAGCGAACCGGACACTTACAAATTGGCCAGACTCATGAGGGGTGCACACACCGGAGAAGGGGGGGGAACCCCTAAAGAGCATTAAGGGTTTGGGGGGAGCAGCGAGTCCAGGGATGCAAGGTGGTGCCCGCGCACGCCTTGGCAACCTAGCTGATGCCACAGGCAGATATCAATCCAGGCAACAGAGGTCGGTCTCCAGGCCCTCAGGCGCACACGAGGTCGCTAACACGGGCCGCGGGAAACGGCTTGGGCTGAAGGAGAGAGAAGCAGACGCGCCGCCACCCCCACCCCTCAGCCGGTTGCTCACCGGTGTTGCAGCCCCACGAGTCCCAGAGTGATCACATGCGGCACATCTAGCTGCGTGGGCCACTCTCCTGAGGCGATGCACCCGAATACTCCACATTCCTCTCGGATTCCCGACTCCTCCAGCTCCATGTCGCCGCCGAAAGCACGTGGAGGGACCTGCCGCCGCAGCAGGGGCCTGAGCACCAACCAGCTGCCCGCTCGGCCCGGACGCCTCAGAGGCTCGCTTCCTTCCCAGCCGCTCGACCCTCGCTACTGCGGCGGCGCGCGCTTTCCCAAAGTAAGCGTGATTAGCGCTCCTCTCCAGCACACCCTGCCCCGCCCCCTCAGGCTGCACCAATGAGTGAGGAGGGAGGGAGAGGCTCCGCGGCTGAGAGGAGGAGCCACAGACTGCTGGGGTGGAGCTAGTCCTCCGCCGGCTCCCTGCGGGAAAGTACTTTCTCTGCACGTGGAAATCTCCGTTATTTTCTAACACCCAAGACTGGGGTGATGAGACTAGTAGGGTTAACGTCACTTCTGTCCCAGAGGATGTAAACTTTGTATGGCCCTCTTCACATGCTTTCCCCCGGCCGTCACCACTTGGTACGCTCCAACCTATGATCTGCTCTTGCCGCGGAAAAGGGAGCCGGTCAGCGAGCCTCTGTAGAACGGGAGTGGCCTCCAACGCGCGCCACTTTTCGCCTCTTCTGGAACAGCGCCCGCGCACGGGGGTGAGGGGGGACGGCCTGTGTCTCTGCGCCTGCGCGGCGGGAAGTCTCAGGGGTATAGCCTGCTTCCAGAGTCGAAGTTGCTCCTGCGTGGCAGAGACCTCGGGGGTTCGGTGGCGGCAGGCTGTGTTGCTAGCGGAGAGCGCGTGTGGGCGCCCGGGAATACTAGTCCTGGCCGGGGGGTGTGTCTGTGGGCCGCCTTCCCTTCCCCCCCACGTGAGCCTCTGTGACCACTCCTCTTTTCCAGAGTCTTTCCTCTCTTCCCGGCGCGGCCGCTGCCCCCAGGCCACGCAGAATAATGGCGACAGCTGAGGGTGAGTAACGGGCATCCCCAGCAATCTGCCGGGGACTTCCTGCCCTCCGCGGTCTTCCCGTCCCCCTTCCCCCACCCCCGGCTGGAGTTGGCGCAGTCGCCGCCACCTGAGTGCCCAGCGGCCCTCCTGGCAGCCTCCTCCCGAGATGTGCCTGGTCTCGCAGCCGCCCCTCTAGGCCGCAGGGCGGGCGAACACGTGGCCCGGGCACCGCCAACCGAGGCGTAGGAAACCCAGCGCTCCCCCACCTCGCCGAACTTTCTGAAATACTCGAAACTGGCTCGGGGTTGGGGAAAAGAACAAAGTAGGGGAAGAGAGTGATGAGAAAGAAATGGACAGGGGTTGGAGAGGTGCATAGAAATCATACTGGTAATCAATAGTTACTGCGAAACAACCACAGGAACATATGTAGTGATTATTCAAAATCTTGCTTTCCTGTTAAGTCAATAGCCTGCTATTTCCAAAGTTAATATTTGAATCTATTGAAAAATTTACTTTTTTTGGTCGAGATTTTGTGTTTCAGTCTTTTGATGCCATGATGATTCTGAAGAGCTCCAAAAGCACCAGGCCAAAAGTTGCCTTGATTCACTTTACAATTATCCTATTTACATAATCCTTTTATCTATGAGTGATTAGGTCCTCAGAAAAGATCTCTTGTTTGTGACATTTATGCTGATAAAACTTTTTTTTCCCCCCACACACCCAGTTTCTAAATTTATGGTGAACCAAATTGGTTGTGCTGGCTGGTCAGTACATTGTCTTCCACACAGAAAAATTGAATTTAGGGAAAAAAATTATCGACTTAATCTAATATAGAATCTGTCATTTTGCTAAAGTGCTTAAAAGCCACATGGTTGTTCTTAGGATAAAATCGAAACACAGTCAACATGATGTATGAGGCCTGAGGGATGAACAGTGAAATGCAAGGGAAGGAAACACTGTTTGGGCCTAGGGTGAGCATGTCAAAAGCTTGGGAGTGGGATATAGAAATTCAGTTATAGAAATTAGAGTTCTGGAAAGGGAATAGAGAAATCTGAAGTTAGAGCACTAAGCTGAGGCTCTAAACTGAGGAGCCTATTAAACTTTGTCAGTGAATCAGGACATTACAATAGGATGGGAATTCATCCTCTAGGTACCCTGCAGCAGTAACTATTAAACTGAATTATAACTGGTTTGTTTAATGGTCACCTCCACTAACTGGTGATCTGACCACTGCTCAGTTCTGCCATTCTTTCCTACTCTGTAGCCGCTGCCCTCCCTCACTATGCGCGCGTGTGTGCAAACACACACACACAGAGCTCCAACCGTACTGAAGTCCTGCCATGTACTGTTACCCCATGGTCTTTTTTTCCGCACCACTACTAACCCCTTTCTCTTTTCTGACTAAATGTTTATCCTTGCCTTAGATCTCAAACTCAGACTTACTTTGTTCCAGACTTCCTGCTCTAGTGTCTAGACTAGGTTAGGTGGGCCTGCTGTGAACCTGTGATCCCACAGACTGTGTATTTCTCACATCATAATTAATACGATGCCCTGTTTAATTTCAGCTTCCTTTAGACTCGGTTGCTTGAGAGTAGGAACTCTGCCTTGTGTACTAGTATAGCCCTAGTGTACCTGGTACACGGGCACTAAAAAATGCCAATACTGAGATTGAGTCTGTTCTAGGAGCGTGAGGGATGATTTCTCCCCTTGGAAATTTTAAGTCCTTAAACTTCTGTTATCTCTGACCTTCATCTAAATCATTCTTTCTAATGACCAGAGTCTACTTTTTTTAGGTCTGTGACCTGTATTAAATTGGATTCCCTTGTCCTTACTTCCTCACCATTTCCCACATTTGTTGGTGTGGAGAAAGGATTAACACTGGGGAGTAGGGAAGAAAGATTAAGAAATAGAGGTGCTTGGAAATGGGCTAACTTCAGTAGATGGGGGTGCCTTCCCTTGCACTTTAACTAAAAATCAAGAAACCCTTTTGGCTCAACTTAATGATTTTGCCTGTCATGCCAAGTGGAAGGCTCAGAAAATAAGCATTTTTTTTTTCCCACTACAAGCTTGTTTATTGTATTGTAAATACATATGTGAAAATACTATTATGTTAACTTAATGTAAAGTAGTTCTACTTCAGTTCTACTATGAGAGAGGCAGGTTTGATAGTGGAAAGAGCAAAGAATGTGATATCAGAAGACATAGGATTTTGTCTGGCTCTGCCATTTCCTAACGGCATGACCTCTAGCTTTTTGATACTTAGTTTTCTAATCTGTATACGGTTGACCCTTGAACAACACGGATTTGAACTGCACGGGTCCACTTTCCCATGGACTTTTTTTTCCTCCGATTACTATCACACAGTACTGCAAATACATTTTCTTTAAGATTTTTTTCTTTTCTCTAGTTTACTTTATTGTAAGAATACAGCATAAAATACATAGAACTTAGAAAATATGTGTTAATCAGCCATTTAATGTTATCAGCAGGGCTTCTGATCAACGGTAGGCTTTAAGTTTTGGAGGGAGTAAAAGTTCTGTTTAGATTTTCAACCCTAAGCCCCACATAATTCAGTTATATGCATAACTATGGCTTGTCACACAGTTATGTGAATCAAATATGATACCTATGAAAATACTTTGTAGGGTATAAGGTTCTATGCAGATGAGTGAATTTTTTATTAAAATTATTCCTTAACCACTCTATGTTCTCTGATCATTCTAGATAACTTAGTCTTCAATTAGGAAATTTTTTTCTGAATCTGATGTCTCCATTTTATCTCCACAGTACTGAATATTGGTAAGAAACTCTATGAGGGTAAAACAAAAGAAGTCTATGAATTGCCAGATAGTCCAGGAAAAGTCCTCCTGCAGTCCAAGGACCAGATAACAGCAGGAAATGCAGCCAGAAAGAATCACCTGGAAGGAAAAGCTGCAATCTCAAATAAAACTACCAGTTGTATTTTTCAGTTGTTAAAGGAAGCAGGTAAGTGGCTTTCCTGATAACCTCCCCTTTCACATTCTCTCTCACACGCACATATTGGTCCTTTCATGGGGAAATGGCATTATTTGGATTAACAACATGTTGACTACCAGTTATATTTTTCAGTTGTTACAGGAAAACAAGTAAGTGGCTCCCCCCACAATCTCCTCCCTTTTGAATGTTGCCCCCCCACACACACACACACCCAATCTCTTTCATGGGGAGATGACATTATTTGGATTAAGAACATGTTGTTTGGTGATGTCTCAAAAGGTTACTTGAATCAAACCAGGAAGTCTTAAATTTCACTACAACATGTAATTTGGAATTAGTAAGTAGTATCATTTAGTTAAGGAATCTTAACAGTTTGCTACAGTCTTTGTCTGGCATGCATATCCTCTCTTTAACTTTTCTCCTAGGAAGACATCCTGGGAGAGACTCATCTGTGAAGGAGGCCTGTTTTGGTATTAGGCAACTTCAGTTGAGGAGTTGAAATTTGGTACCTGCAATTCTATACAGTTATTCTTTGCTCTGTCCCTTGGAGATAAGACAGAATTTCAAATCCCTTTTCCGCTTGAAAGCCCTGAAAAGTATTTGAAGATTGCTACCACACCTTCTCATTCTGCCCCAAGTGAGGGATTTGAACTTGATGAAAGATCTCCAGGCTTACCTCCTACTCTAAAACTGAAAGAAAACTATTTCCTATAGAGATATCTATTCAAAAAGACTAGATCAAAACATTCTGTGGAGGGCACTTGGAGCAAAGAAAGGGGAATTAAGATAATGGGCTTTTCTTCAGGGGTTCAGTCAATGCTGATTTGTCTGTAGTATATGAAATCTCGCTAATAAAAGATTTGAGCTCTTTTCTTCCAATGTAAGAGGCCTCATTGCTTTGGATTGCTCAACCTTTGAAGCCTCTGGTTCCTTATCTATCTAATAAAAAAAGCTTTGTTTTTTACTTTCCCAGTTCTAATTTTTATAATTTAATAATTTTGTCTCCTTTTACTATCCCTTTCATTTCTTAGAGCTTCCAGTAACTGTTAACAGGCGTACCCTGTTGTATTGCACTTTGCTTTATTGTGTTTCGTGGATATTGTTGGGGTTTGTTTATTTGTTTGTTTTTACAAATGGAAGGTTTGTGGCAACCCTGCCCCTGCATTGAGCAAGTCTTTTGGCGCCATTTTTCCAACAGCATTTGCTCTCTTCATGTTGCTGTTACATTTTGGCAAATCTCAATATTTCCAACTTTCTCAGTATTTTATTTATTATGGTGAACTGTGATCAGTGATCACAACTTGCTAAAAGCTCAGATGATAGCGTTTTTTAGCAATGAAGTATTTTTTAACTAACATATATATGTTTTTTAGATAACATGCTATCAAACACTTAATAGGCCACAGTATTGTATAAATAAAACTTGTATGTGCACTGGGAAACCAAAAAATTCATTTGATTTGCTTTATTGTGGTGGCATGGAACCGAACCCGCAAGATCTTCAATGTATGTCCATAATCTCTTAAATTGATCTTCTGAATCCAAAGGGGAATTTAATACCTTTATTTCCAGTCGGTATAGAGGTACCTGCCTTCCGCAAAATAACAACGTAGTTCAGATTAAATCTATTTTGTCCATTCAGAATGGGTTCTTGAATAGTTTTCCTCTTTCCTAGTTTTCTGTTGAACATTTTTAGTGTATTGTGGGGAAAAAAATGTTTGCCAGCCTAATTTGTCATCCACATCATAAATCCCTCTATACATTGAAAGTGTGTATGTTGTATAAATGTAAAGGACCACCCACAGTTCCTAAGTAATAAGATTTTAGGATTTTTATTTCAGGGCTTCCTTGATAGGTGGTTTCTCAGTGTCTGAGTTGATTGCTACAGAGAGCATCAAACTAATTTTAGGTTCCTTTTGCAGTACGGATAAGTGGTCCATTTTTAACTTGCCAAGTTATCTCATTCTCCCTATACATGTTAAAATTTTAAAAAGTTGCTTAATACTATAATTGTTAACAAAAAAAAAAAAATTAGCTCCTGTGTTCCCATGGTAGTTATCATAGTTATGGAGAGAGAGATATATATAGGTATATATATATTTCTAAATAATGGAAGATAAGTACAGGCCCAAGTTTGTATTTGCTTATTCAGTAAGGGAGTATACACTGTACTTTGTGGGCTTAACAGAAAGTGAATTAAGGTGACCCAAATTGTCTCTGTCCAGGACTTTCCCAGTTTTACTCTGAAAGTCCTGTGTCTGAGAAAGCTGGGAAAGTTTGTAATCCTAAATGAAGTACTCCAACAATTATCTTTAAACTACTGTATTGGCACCTTTAACATAACTAAAACTTACTTGGTTCACAGGAAATGTTGAAAGATATTCTTCAGGTTTTGGGGTGCCTGGGTGGCTCATTGGGTTAAAGCCTCTGCTTTCAGCTCAGGTCATGATCTCAGGGTCCTGGGATCAAGCCCCGCATCATCAGCAGGGAGCCTGCTTCCCCCCACCCCCGCCTGCCTCTCTGCCTACTTGTGATCTCTGTCAAATAAATAAATAAAAATCTTTAAAAATAAAAAAAAAAGAAAGATATTCTTCAGGTTTTATACACTGAAATTAAGGAAAACTTAAGTTTTAAAAAATTCTTAGATTTGTTTTAGAGGACAGATTAGGAGTTCTGTTGCCTTATCTAATTTTTACTTGCTGATAGTTAAATGAATCCTATGCCTAGTTGACCACCAATGGCATATTTAAAATTGCTTTCTTTATAACCAAGGTTATGTATGTTCCTAATTAAGGTATTTCTAGAAGTTAGAATGGGAAGAGCACCAAATGAGATTTTGTAAAAAAGGATTCTGGTTTTCTCATTGTCAATCACAAGCAAACTGTAAAATACTATACAAGTAATAGATAAAAGTAAAACTTTTTCCATGGAAATAATATACATGCTACACCTGAGTTATGAAATGAAATGTGTGGATTTAGTCTCAATACTTAACCTTATAAAGTCTCAGTTCCCCCACAGAAACCTACCATAATTATGTTTAGGTGTTAGTAGTGATAATGGGTATAAGTCCTGCAATTGTTAAACCACAGATAAGGAGCCAGGCAAGCTTAATACATGGGTGGGTGGCCCTAAGGATATGTGGGCTGATTTGCTGTCAGACACTGCCATTGTAATTCAGAGTATGAAGTGACATTTTCTTAGTAATCTTTTTTTTTTTTAAGATTTTATTTATTTGACAGAGACACAGTGAGAAAGGGAACACAAGCAGGGGGAGTGGGAGAGAGAGAAAAAGAAGCAGGCTTCCCACAGAGCAGGGTGCCTGATGTGGGGCTTGATCCCAGGACCCTGGGATCATGACCTGAGCCAAAGGCAGATGCTTAACGATTGAGCCACCCAGGCGCCCCTTTCTTAGTAATCTTTTTTTTTTTTTTTTTTAAAGATTTTATTTATTTATTTGACAGAGATAGCAAGTAGGCAGAGAGGCAGGCAGAGAGAGGGGAGGAAGCAGGCTCCCCGCCGAGCAGAGAGCCCGATGCGGGGCTCGATCCCAGGACCCTGGGATCACGACCTGAGCCGAAGGCAGAGGCTTAACCCACTGAGCCACCCAGGCGCCCCTCTTAGTAATCTTAATAGGAGTCTTACATTCTGCAAACAGTGAGACATGGGGGAGAGTTCTTTTGCTCATGCCCCCCATCCAGTCATGAAATTTGCTAAGATGATTACCATGTATATTAGAAGCAATCATTGTATCATCTAAACTCCATCTTTTTTTGGGGGGGTAGCAATTTTTTTTTCCTGTACTAGATGATAACTGTAGATTGCTTCTGTGCTTTTGGTTCTCTCAGATGTGAGGAGGAGTTTTCCTCTGAGTAAAAGTAACTATTATTTATATTTGAACAATAGATTTGGATACTAGTCTTTCAAGCTAGACAAATGAGCATGTATATCTAAAGTTTAACACATCTTAAAAGGAAGAACTCTTAAAGTCAGGCATGTAGTTACCACCTGTAGTTCAGGACTGATTTAAATCATTTGCCTATCCATTAGCATGAGCTCAATCATTCTTTAAGGGTTAAAATGACCATTTATTTACATTCTGATTCTTTTCCAGAGTTCCTGTTCATGGAGCATATCACAATTCCCTATTTCAATTGAATCTTACTGATGAAACCCAGAGAGAGTACAGAGAAAATGCAGGTTTTGAAACTGGTCCAGGCACCATTACTGATTGGCAACATGTCAAATTACTTAACTTCTTTGAGCCCCTGTTTCTTTCACTGTAAAATGTAATAATACCTATCTGAAAAATTTTATGGTTAAATGAGATAACATAAAACACTTAGAGTAGTGCAGGTCTTACATAAATGTAGATTCCCTTCATGTAGGGAAATGCATATGTATGTGGTTTTATGGCAGCACAGAGTAATCCTGTAGCATCTCTTGGAAACCGTTATGGGTTGACATTAATAATGCTCATCTTCAGCTGCAGTGTTAGTACCTAGAATACCTAGGAGTGGGATTGCTGGATTGTGTGGTTCATGATATAGCTGTCCTTAGAGGTTATTTTCCAACGTCCCCAAGTAAAATAGCTCCCATCACAAGCTAGCTTTTTATCTAGTTTTCCAGTAACAGTTTGAGTAAAATAGAAGAGAAATGAAGAACAAATGTTTTCTTTGCTCTTGGCCAAATTGGCCACTGTGTTCTTGCTGCTACCTGTTGAATACTTTTTTCCAGGGATTATTTTCTTCAAATATTAAGAGAAAAGTGTGATCCAAAATATAGGGCTGTACCTGATTGTGATTAAGTAGATTGATATATTTTTTTAAGATTTTATTTATTTATTTGACAGACAGAGATCACAAGTAGAGAGGCAGGCAGAGAGAGAGGAGGAAGTAGGCTCCCCTCCAAGCAGAGAGCCCGATGCGGGGCTTGATCCCAGAGATATGAGACTCCACCCAGGCGCCCCAAGTAGATTGATATTTTATAAGGCCCATTTAATACTGGACTGTCAAATATGAGAATCGTATAACCAAATCTGATTTAAAGATAATTTAGTATCACTTAGATGAGTTATATGCTTTATACAAAGTTGGGTGGCCGAAAATTTCTCAAAAGCATTTTTTGAATGTATGAATGAATGAATGGTAGAGACACTGGAACCCAGACCTTCTGATCCACTATATACTTTCCCATGCAACATTAAAATGAAATACTCTTAAATATTCTGAAGAGCAGTAAGAAAGCCATACTGATAATTTTCTTTTTCTTCTACTACTTTTTATAAAAAAGTTAATTTATTTTTGATAGTATCATTTAGGGATAACATATTTGGCTAGATAGGGTTTTGATTCATTTTGTTTTTTGTAAGCAGCTGTTTTATTATGCCTCAGATCTACCATTTTTAATAGAACTTTATTGCTTTTTTAAAAACTTTTTGTCAATATGTAGGTATCAAAACTGCTTTCACCAGAAAATGTGGGGAGACAGCTTTCATTGCACCTAAGTGTGAAATGATTCCAGTTGAATGGGTCTGTAGAAGAATAGCAACTGGTTCTTTTCTCAAAAGAAATCCTGGTGTCAAGGAGGGATATAAGTTTTACCCACCTAAAGTGGAGCTGTTTTTCAAGGTAATTATTCTGTGCTTGTGTGTCTTACTATAATATAGCAACAAACATAATTTCAAAGTCAAAAGATTTAAATGTTGTTAAAACTAAATAAAATCTTTTAAAGTATTTTAAATTAAATTATTTAAATGAAATAAATAAATTTTTAAAAATATTAGTTATTAGGAAGAAAAGTAACAATTCAGAAACTTTTTAAATTTTTAAAGAGTTTGAAATTAAGGCAAATACAAGGGATCTTTTTATATTCAGATACAGAAAAACTATTACCAATATCTCTTACAAGCAAAAACATAATGAAGGTGTAAGAATCAGTGGTTATACATTTGTATTGGTTTTCTTTATTGAAACTGCTTTTCGGGATGCCTGGGTGGCTCAGTCGGTTAAGTGTGTGCCTTCAGCTCAAGTCATGATCCCGCGTCCTGGGATCAAGTCCCGCATCCAGTACTCCTTGCTCAGCGGGGAACCTGATTTGCCCTCTACCTGCTGCGCCCACTTGTGCTCTCTCTCTCTGTTGGACAAATCAATAAACAAACTCTTTAAAAACAACAAATAAAACTGCCTTTCTCTTTCCCTCTTTGTTCATGCTGTTAAGAATAGTTCCAATGTCAGGAGTAATGTCTATATAGTATTTTTATTGTTTCCCTTTTTTTTTTTTAAGATTTTATTTATTTATTGAGAGAGAAAGAGGGAGATGGTGAGTAAGCACGCGGTGAGAGGAGCAAAGAGGGAGGGAGAGTAAGGGAGAAAGAACCTTAAGCAGACTCCATACTGAGCAGAGAGCCTGACATGGGGCTCTATCACACGATCCTGAGCTCATGACCTGAGCTGGAATCAAGTCTGGATGTTCAAATGACCGAGCCACTGAGGTGCACCTTGTGTAGCACTTTTTTTTTTTAAGACTTTATTTATTTGACAGAGTGCACAAACAGGAGGAGTGGCAGGCAGAGGGAGTGGGAGAAGCAGACTCCCTGCTGAGCAGGGAGCTCTATGCAGGACTTAGTGCCAGCGACCTGGGACCATGACCGAGCTAAAGTCAGATGCTCAATCGACTGAGCCACCCAGAGGTCCCTTGTGTAGCATTTTTAAAAAGGGAACTAAAATTGCCTCTCAGTCTTTTGGCCCAGATCAAGTATAATTAGTGAACTATGTACCTTAAAATGTTTATCTTACTGTTATAATACAAATCCAGAATTCATAAAAGAAAAATTTCATGTGAAATTGGAACACTACTTAGAATACAATGAAAATACTTTTTTCACTAATATCTTTATATAAAGTCTCTTAAATTATTAAATAATATCCCTCAAGACTTATAGTCTTACATAAACTTTTATTAAAAATGAGGTGAAGAGCAGTGACTGGCTGGCTCAGTCAGCAGAGTAAGCAACTCCTGATCTCGGGATTGTGATCTCATGCTCTACACCCCACATTGGGTGTGGAGATTATTTTAAATCTTTAAAAAAGGGGGCGGGGCGTCTGGGTGGCTCAATGGGTTAAGCCTCTGCCTTCAGCTCAGGTCGTGATCTCAGGGTCCTGAGATCGAGCGGCGTTTCGGGCTCTCTGCTCAGCCTGCTTCCCTCCCTCCCTCTGCCTGCCGCTCTGTCTGCCACTCTGCCTACTTGTGTGCGCACTCTATCAAATAAAATCTTAAAAGAAAGTTCAGGAGATAATGAAAACTGCATCCTGGAGAGATTTAGTGGACTAAAGTGTGCTTTGGCCTTCTTACTATCTCTGTTGACTCAGATAAAGAAAAAAACCACAAACTTCTATTTAAATTAGTTTATAGAGAGAGCAAATTCTTTCAAATACTTTATCAGCTGGAATAAGTTACTAAATATCTTAAATTTTAAAGTATCTATTAAACTAGACAAATTAAAACAAAACTAGGCAAATTAAAAATAATTGTGAATTAAAGGGCATGTCAGAAATTAAGTCCTTAGAGACAATAAATATTTCTGAGAAATTCACGGTCAAAGAAAAAAAGAACTTCATTTTATCTCAAAAATACAAAATTTGGGGGGCTCCTGGGTGGCTCAGTTGTTAAGTGTCTGCCTTTGGCTCAGATCACGATCCCGGGGTCCTGGGATCAAGCCCCACATTGGGCTCCCTGTTTCACGAGAAGCCTGCTTCTGCCTCTCCCACTCCCTCTGCTTGTGTTCCCTCTCTTTGCTGTGTCTCTCTCTCTGTTAAATAAAAAAAACTTTTTAAAAAAAGTTCAAAATTTTTATATTTAAATTAATCGTACTCCTATACTTTATTTTCAGGATGATGCCAACAATGATCCACAGTGGTCTGAGGAACAGCTAATTGCTGCAAAATTTTGCTTTGCTGGACTTGTTATAGGCCAGACTGAAGTGGATATCATGAGTCATGCTACACAGGCTATTTTTGAAATATTGGAGAAATCCTGGTTGCCCCAGAACTGTACATTGGTTGATATGAAGGTACAAATAAAATAGAGATTTGAGAGTAAAGATTATAACTGAAAAATGTCTTCAGTTGTAGAGTTTTGAGAACTTTTCTTTGGTGATATGCTATTTCTAGATTGAATTTGGTGTTGATATAACCACCAAAGAGATTGTTCTTGCTGATGTTATTGATAATGATTCCTGGAGACTCTGGCCATCAGGAGATCGAAGCCAACAGAAAGATAAACAGGTAATCCTTCAGGATTTTTTTTTTTATCTTTTGCCTGATCAGGCAAGATAGGGGTGACTAGGAAGATGGGAGGAAAAGAAAAGGCTACTGTTGTTCCATATGATAAGAAACAAGTTGATTGCTATTTACTTCTAAAGATAAATATCTCTTACATTTCCTATATCCTGAAAAAAAAAAATAGGAATAGTACTTTGCATTTACAAAACAGATAACTCATTTATTATGACTGTCACGCAGAACAAGTATCATCCTTATTTGGCCAATTGAAAATTAAGGTGCTAGAGGATGGGTCTTCATAATTACAAGAATAAGGGTCAATCTGGATCCAAGTGTTCTGGATATTACCAGCTTCCATTTCTGCTCTGTCCTATGAAAAATAAAATTAGGGCGGTTGCTCTCTAAATACACAAGAATTGTCAGGGCAGTTAGTCCTAGTTACTAGTGTGGAAAACACTTAACCTTAAATGAAAATGCAAGTGTACTTCACTGTCTGAACTTCCTCTACTCTAATTCAGGAAATGAATTTATAGGTTCAGATACATTTTCAGACATATTCCTTGCTATGCAGGCTTTTTGTAGTCTACCTAAAACTCAGAAATCAAATAAGTTCACTTAGCAAGCGTATTACTAGTAGGATATCTGTATTCTAAACTTTCTATCTTATTTTCTAGTCATATCGTGACCTAAAGGAAGTAACTCCCGAAGGGCTCCAGATGGTGAAGAAAAATTTTGAGTGGGTTGCAGAAAGAGTGGAGGTAAAACTTTTGTAGTAAACCTATGCTGTTCTGTGTTTTTCTCCAAGAAAATCTTGCTTCAGAAAGGACAATAGGGGCATCTGGGTGGCTCAGTCAGTTGAGCATCCGACTCTTGATTTCAGCCCGAGTCATGATCTCAGGATCTCAGGGTCATGGAGTCGAAACCTGCATCAGGCTCTCTGTTCAGCGCAGGGTCTGCTTCAGATTCTTTCTCCCTCCCTCTGCACCTCCCCCTGCTTGCATGTGCCCTCTAAATAAATAAATGAAATCTTTAAAAAAAATAAAAATGAGAAGGCGCAGTTTTTTTTTCCCCCAGTTATTTCAGAGAGTGTGTGTGCACACATGCGTCCATGTGCGTGGAGGGAGAGGCAGAGGGAGAGAGATAATCATGACGCAGAGGCCCCACTGAGCAGAGGGCCTGACATAGGGCTCAGTCTCAGGACTGTAAGATCATGACGTGAGCTAAAATGGAGTCATCCACTCAACCAGCGAAGACACCCAGGTGTCCTTTTCCCCAGTGGTTTAAAAAAAAAAAAAGAACACCATTAAGAAATGTACCACCTGAACTATCCTCAGTGACATACTGAAACCCCCTGTTGTTAAACTGGCCAGTACACTCCCAGATTCTAATGGGGAAACCTAGAGTCCTTGTCTCCTCCCTGCCCCTTACATTTCCTACCCACCTCTCCACTGCTGCTCAGCTACTCAGAGTTGTATTAGCAAGGGTTCCATAAGTAGAGTTCCGAATTAGAACTCCATGTGCCATTAAAATGTCACTTTAAGATTTATGGTATGGTATTATCAGGGTGCCCGGGTGGCTCAGTCATGACGTAAAGCATCCACACTCTTGATTTTTGCTCAGGTCATGATGTCATGGTCCTGGGATCAAGCCCTGCGCAGGCTCTGCACTCAGCCGGGATTATGCTTGAGATTCCCTTTCCCTCTGCCCTTCCGCCTGCTCCCCTGCATGCTCTCCCTCCCTCTCAAATAAATATTTTGGATTTATAGTATTATTACTGTAATTCCATGGAAATTGAATGGGATTTGTGGTTATGCAAGGGTCATAGCCAGTTTTCAAGACCTCATTTCCTTGGAAACATGTATTTTCAATTTTTTTTTTTTTTTAAGATTTATTTATTTGACAGAGATCACAAGTAGGCAGAGAGGCAGGCAGAGAGAGAGGAGGAAGCAGGCTCTGCTGAGCAGAGAGTCCGATGCGGGGCTCGATCCCAGGACCCCGGGATCACGACCTGAGCCGAAGGCAGAGGCTCCAACCCACTGAGCCACCCAGGCGCCCCATGTATTTTCAATTCTAAGCAACTAACTTAAAGAAGGTTTATAATATGATCTCTTTATTTTGGCTGATTATGCCTTAAAACCTCCATTAAACACAATGGACTAAAATCTTAGGATGAAATATTTTATATTATAGCTTCATGAGTATTAATTAGAAGGGTTGAGCATTTATCTTTCCTTTATATCATAATAATAAGTATAACTTACCTGATTAAAATTCTTATTACTTTTTAGGTCTTAATTAGAAGACTGCTTCCCTTTCCATAAAGAGGTTATTTTGAAAAATGAATTATCATTTTGTCCTTTTTGTCTCTGTCTTGACTTTGGTCTATTAAGAAAGAAAATATTCTATCCAGTTGTAATTTTACTCTACTATAGCTCTGTAAACTGATTATTCTTACGGTACTCAATTCTGTATTTAACGTTTTTTCCTGTTTTCTTTTGCATATCCATGTTTTTCTTTTCCAGTTGCTTCTGAAATCAGAAAGTCAGTGCAGAGTTGTAGTATTGATGGGCTCAACTTCTGATCTCAGTCACTGTGAAAAAATAAAGAAGGCTTGTGGAAATTTTGGCATTCCATGTGAACTTCGGGTAACGTCTGCCCATAAAGGGCCAGATGAAACTCTGAGGATTAAAGCAGAGTATGAAGGTAAATTTCACATTTTACATAGAGCATTTCAGGATTTTGCCAAAAAATTTTATGTTTGGACTAATAATGGTGAAAAAGAATTTGCCACAGTTCCAATGGGGAAAATGTGATAGTCTAGGCTTTCGTTATACTTGCTTCCAAAGAGTGTAAGATGCTCTAGGCACTTAGAATGCCTCAGGGAAAAAAATTGAAAATGCAGCATGGGTACACATGAAAATAATGCAGTGTTGTGTGTTGATGGCATTCAAGTTTTTAAAAAAAAATGTTAATGAATAAATAAATAAAAGAGTAGAGGCCCCCACCCCCCCCCCCCAAAAGAAAGTGAAACAGGGAAGGGAAATAAAGGCTAGAATGAGTCTTTATCTAATAAGAAGCCCCTGGAGTATTGTTTCTAATATGCTCCAACAGAAGATAGGCCCCACATCAATTTTGGGAGGTATGAGGTTGAAGCAGAGATCCTTTCAAGTATTTTTAGTAGTCAGCCTTTTCTAAGAGGTGGGTAGTTGAATGTGAAATTAAGGAATAATTTTAGAATTGGGTATTTAAAAGAAATGTCTTGATGGGATAGTATTGATCTAAAATAACAGAGTTCTGGAAACAACCAAATGTTTCTCAACTGGGAAAAATGTTATCTGAGTTTTCTTTCTAAAGGTAGTTGTTAATAGGAGCATAATTATTAAGGCTTGAGGTGGGGTGTTGAGGGGCTAGGGAACTGGGATAAGTTCCTAGACCTCTTTGTTAAAGTTATGAAAGCCTGAACTCTTTATCCAGAGAAGTGCAAATACATAAAATTTTGGATTCCAGGTTAGAAATCTCTGTGGTAAGAAACAAAGGAATAACTTAAAAATTTACCAAAGAATGAAATGTTTAAGAGATGTGTTAGAAAACATATTGAATGGTCTTAAATATTTAGGTACTATATTATTGAATTGACCTTTCTTCATTGATAATGTGCCCCTGAACCTCTAGTCTCCATTAACAAGGTCTCCCTATACCCTGTGGGTTGAAGGACACCAGGACAGACACTGGTTCAAGTAGTGTCATTCTTTGTTTCAGTGAGCCTAAGCATATCCTTTTAAGTAGGGCCTTTGAGCCGTTCCCTCACTAATACTCTCGTACCCTCTTTATACTATAGGTCTCAAACATGGCCAAACTTATTTTTGCTACTTTGTTACTTAAGATATAATAAGTGGTGAAGTGAAATATATATTGAATATATATGCAATAATTGTGTCTTATTTATGCTTTTTCTGGAGACTGCTAATAAAGGAACTGAAGGAGTTAAGACACATAGGCATTTTGTTTTAACCTATCTTAAAATCTATTTTCAAGGGACGCCTGGGTGGCTCAGTTGGTTAAGCAGCTGCCTTCAGCTCAGGTCATGATCCCAGCGTCCTGGGATCGAGTCCCACATCGGGCTCCTTGCTCGTCAGGGAGCCTGCTTCTCCCTCTGCCTCTGCCTGCCATTCTGTCTGCCTGTGCTCGCTCTCTCTCTCTCTCTCTCTCTGACAAATAAATAAATAAAATCTTTAAAAAAAAAAAAAAAAATCTATTTTCAATTCAATTATAAATGTGTAATTTCCCTAGGGGATGGCATTCCTACTGTATTTGTGGCAGTGGCGGGCAGAAGCAATGGTTTAGGACCAGTGATGTCTGGTAACACTGCATACCCAGTTATCAGCTGCCCTCCACTCACTCCAGACTGGGGAGCTCAGGATGTGTGGTCGTCTCTTCGACTACCCAGTGGTAAGATACATGAATTTTATTTTATTTTATTCTATTTTTTTAAAGATTTTTATTTATTTGAGAGAGAGAGCATATAAGCTGGGCGGGGGGAGGGTCAGAGGGAGAGGGAGAAGCAGACTCCCTGCTGAGCAGGAAGCCCGATGCGGGGCTCAATCCCAGGACCCTGAGATCATGACCTGAGCCAAACGCAGACCCTTAACCAGCTGAGCCACCCAGGCACCCCAAGATACATGAATTTTTAAAAATTGTTTATTAAAGGGGCACCTGGGTGGCTCAGTTGGTTTAACATCCGACTCTTGATTTCGGCTCAAGTCATGATCTCAAGGTTGTGAGATCAAACTCCATGTTGGGCTCCATGAAGAGCGTAGAGCCTGCTTGGGATTCTCTCTCTCCCTTGCTTCTCCCCCCCCCCCCAACCCCCACCCACACACAGGCTGGCTTTCTCTCTTCCAAAAAAACTTGTTTATTGAAAAATTTCAAACATGCACAATAGTAGAGAGAGTAACATGAAATCTTATGTACCTGTTATTCAGCTTCAACATTTAATATCTTATTACATCTGTAGCCCTTTCTGCTGGATTATTTTCAAGCACACAGCATTTTACACTTAAATATGCTTCTCTAAGCAATATGAACTCTAGGTTTTATTATTTTATATTATTTTTTAAAGATTTTATTTATTTGTCAAGAGAGAGAGCATACAAGGTAGAGTGGCAGGCAGAGCAGGCAGAGGGAGAAGCAGGTTCTCTGCTGGATAAAGGAGCCCTATATGGGGCTTGATCCCAGGATCCCGGGATCATGACCTCAGCCCAAGACAGACACTTAACAGACTAAGCCACCCAGGAGTGCCATAACTCTAGTTTTTAAATCATAATCATGGGGGCACCTGGGTGGCTCAGTTGGTTAAGCGGCTACCTTTGGCTCAGGTCATGATCCCAGGATCCTGGGATTGGGCCCCGCCCCCACCTGCTTTTCTCTCTCACTCTGCTGTTCCCCCCACTTGTGTTCTCTCACTTATGCTCTCGCTCACTGTCTCTCAAATAAACTCTGTAAAAATAAATCATAATCAGTATAGCATATTCACACTTAAGAAAAATTAATGGTAATTTTTTTTTAAATCATCTAATTTTCAGTTGGTGTTTAAGCTTTCCTGATCATCTCATTTGTTTTTACAGTTGATTTGTTCAACTCAATGTAACACAGTCCTTACATTGCATTTAGTTGCTCTCTCTCCTAAGTCTCTTTTAATCCTCCTTTTTTCACTTTCATTTGTCCTGTAGAATTTTCCACATTTTGGATTTGGCTGATTACATTTCTGGATGATGTTTAACATGGTCTTCTATATTTTTTATAAACTGCTGGTGAAATCTGTAGATAAATCAAGTACAGATTTTGGTCCCCCCCCCCCCCAAGAATACATCATTCATGGTTTTGAGTTTTTTAAAGTAAATGTTATTATGTTATTTCTGTAAAGGAAATGTAATTTTATTTCTATAAATTAGGGGACAGAATAAATAACATACAAAGAAATCTCAATTGAGCATTATCTCATAGAATAACAGTATTGTGGTAGGGATGTGTCAAAAATGTTAAGAACTTGAGCCTTCCTGTCTGTTCAAATATGGACTGGCTTCTCTCTAGGCCTGCTGTACTGTCATTATCTCAGAATTTCTCTTAACCATCATCCTGGACATGCATTTTGCCCTTCTCTAGTCTTAGATCTCCTGTTTCCTAGGTCCCATGTCTTCACCTTTCTTTGTTTACTCCTTAATTTGTTGGAGAGCATTCTTAGTGAACTTCCTGAGGAAGGGCTACAGATGGTAAACTTTTTGAGACCTCATATATCTAAAACATTTCCATCATAGCCTCACACTCAATAATTTGGGAATGGAATTCTAGACTGAAAATTACTTTCCTTCAGAAATGCATCTTGAAGGCATTACTCAATTGTCTTCCAACTTCCAGAGTTACTGAAAACTGCAGTGCCCTTTTATCGTTCTGATTCTAGGTCATTTGTGAATTTTGTTTTTTTCTGGAAACTTTTAGGGTCTTTTTCTACCCATGTTTCTTAAATTTCACAGAGATGTGTCTTTTTTTTTTTTTTTTAAGATTTTATTTATTTATTTGACGATAGAGATCACAAGTAGATGGAGAGGCAGGCGGGGGTGGGGGCAGGCTCCCCGCCGAGCAGAGAGCCCGATGCGGGACTCAATCCCAGGACTCTGAGATCATGACCTGAGCCGAAGGCAGTGGCTCAACCCACTGAGCCACCCAGGCGCCCTCACAGAGAAGTGTCTTGATGATTATTTTCATCTTGGGCTTTCGGTGGGCTGGTTAAATCTGGAACTCTGATTCTTTAATCCTGAGAAAGTTTCTTCAGTTACTTAATACTTTCCTTCCTCCTCCACTTTCTTTTCTCATTTTTTGGATTTAGTATTAAAAATAGGAGCTTTGTGTTTCTCTTTTCTCTTTCTCATTGCTATACTCTCTGGAACATTTCTCCAACCCTTTTATTAACTTTTTCAATCCAGTTATGGCATATTGAACTTCTAAGAGCTCTTTTTTGTTCTATGGTCTTCTCACCATCCCCCATCCTTTTCTTGTTTAATCTTTGCAATAACATCTTTTATCTCTCTGAAATTACTATAGTTTTTCTTTCATATTAACTCCTTTTCTCACCTGTCTGGTATCTGGTAATCCTTGGCTGTCCGTTCTTAAGAGGGAGGCACTATAAAAAACCAGTTGCACGGTCTGTGCGAGTGGATGGGACTTGTCAGAAGGGGGCTCCATGGCGCCTGGGTGAATCAGTTGCTTAAGTATCAGACTCTTGGTTTTGGCCTGGGTCATGATCTCAAGATGGTGGGTTTGAGTCCCTTGTCAGTAGGGAGTCTGCTTGAGATTCTCTCTCTCTGACCCCTTCCTATATGCCCCTCTCTCGCTCTAAAAAAAAAATGAACCTTTACCCCCCCCCCAAAAAAAAAAGCTCCACTGTTGGGTGATCTGGTAGAGTTGATCTTTGAATAACCCCTTACATGAATGTCATTTGATCTTTTCTCATGTGTGACTAGAATTATCCAGAGAATCTTTCTAGTCTCATTCTCCTGACTGAGAAATAAACCTGACTGCCAGCATTCTGGAATCTGGTAATCTTAATACTTGTGTAAACTTCACCCCCTGTTTTCACTGCAGCATTGCTTGTCTCAGCTATGCCTCGTACCCTCCAGTCCACAGAAGTCTGGACTAAAATCTGTTTTTCCCTTCATAAGAATTTATGACTCTGCTAGGATGCAGAAGGGGCAATTCCTCAGGTACATGGAGTGGAGCAAGAGATTTGATAGTCTAACTGCTTCTTGACTTTAAGCCAGTCCCCCCTTTTTTTTTAGCCACATTTTCACCCCCATGTCTCCCTTCAAAAGTATCGGGTGCCACTGATTCCCCAAACCTTTACATGGATTTTTTAACATTGGTCACATTGCTTCTCCTGCTTCCAGTTTAGGATAAAATTTTCTTGGTCTACTTAGTTACCACTCCATTTCCTTTTCAACTGACAAAAAGTTATCACTGTTCTCTCTTTGTTCTTATGTGTTTATGTCTATTTTCTTTATTCCCTTTACTCCTGTTTTTATTTTTATTTTTTAAAGCTTTGGCAGATATCTTTAACTCAAATATAGAAAAAAATAGGATACCATTAATAAAAATATTTTTTACAGCTGAGCATATTTGATTTGTACTCAGTAAACGTCCTGAACAAACGTAACAGTCAGCTACTTAATGCTATCTTTATACAGTTTCAGGGATACACCTTGTGATTAATCCATCTTTAACTAGATCTTTAGCTGGACATCTGATTGTATCAACTTCTCTAGTTAAAAATTTTTTATGGCTATAAATGAAAGTATAAATTTATGCCAGAGGAATAGTATATGTATTATCAGTGGAGTTTAGGAAAGGGAGAATGTGATGAGGAAAAATTTGGCAGCTTTTATCTAGTACTGTCCAAGGAGAGAGAGGGAACCTGGGAGATTTGTACATTCCGATCACTAGAATTGGGGATAATCTTTTGAAGAAAAGTTTTACAGTGGCCTTTATAAAATCCTAAAAACTCTATTTGTCTTTCTCTTATGGCATGCTCACTAGATAACCTAATTTTTTGCTAATTAAGCTTTCCTGATGTTAGAAGGGGAGTCCTGAGCAGTGTAGGCACAGGTATTTCAGTTACTAGAGTAGAACCCTGTACCTAGAATACTACTGCTAACAGTTGACATTCATCAGCTGTTTCATTCATCAAGTACTTACTATGCATAAGGCACTGCTCCAAGTACTTTATCTATATTAACTTGTTGAATACTCCCATCTTAATAGATAAGGACACTAAGTTAACATTAAGTACTTTGACCAATATCACACAGTATGTGAGGGAGCTACATAAATTGATTTATTAATATAAACTAGTAAATTTGCCTTGTGATATATACTTGATTCTTACTGGAGGTAGGGGGAATCAAAGAGCCTGGTGAATTCCAAGAATATTGGGGAAATGGAGGTTTCGGATCTGTAAGCTAGGAGTACTTCACTCGAGTGCCACAGGTATAATAGTACCAGTCCGTAATAGAAAGTCTGAGTAAACGTGTGGCCCCCAAGGAAGTTACTTTCTTAGGTCCTATTAATATTGAATTTACTTAGAACCTGGTATTTTGTAAACTTACTCTTTGCTTTTAACTTTTTTACTGCTTAAAGAATAGTTAAAGTGCAAAGACAAAAGTAGTGGCTAGAAAATTATAAAAAAAAAAAATACATATCTCAAGTTTATCCAAGAATAGGTGCTTCTGCCTACTTGATCCTTGTTTTATTTCTGTTGCCTTTCATTAGTGATTTAAAGATTTACAGTATATGAAAAGAACTTCGAAAAAGCCAAATTTCTTTGCAGATGGATTCAATGCAAAAAGTGATAGATGGGGTGCCTGGGTGGCTCAGTCATTAAGCGTCTGCCTTTGGCTCAGGTTATGATCCCAGGGTCTTGGCATTGGGCCCCGCATAGGGCTCCCTGCTTGGCAAATCTGCACCTCTCTCCCTCTGCATGCTGCTCCCCCTGCTATGTGTGCTTGCTCGCACGCGCTGTCAAATAAATAAATAAAATATTAAAAAAAAAAAAAGTGATAGCTGTATATAAGATACTGGTTCATGGTAGAGAAATATTACTTAATGCTCTTAATAATCACTTTACCACTCCAGTAGTAGACATGGAACTCCTTCTGCAGATCTTACTTTAGACAAGGATGATACAGTAGCTTTTTATTGTTTTTGATTAGCAGGACTTTTCTTTTCTTTTTTTTTTTTTTTTTTTTTTTAAGATTCTATTTATTTATTTGACAGAGAGAGATCACAAGTAGGTAGAGAGGCAGGCAGGGAGTGGGGAGGGGGAAGCAGGCTCTCCACTGAGCAGAGAGCCCGACACGGGGCTCGATCCCAGGACCCTGAGATCATGACCTGAGCTGAAGGCAGAGGCCTAACCCACTGAGCCACCCAGGCGCCCCTAGCAGGATTTTTCTGAGCATAAAATAGTTTACTAGGGGCCCCTGGCTGGCTCAGGTGGTAGAGTATGGGACCCTCGATCTGGGGGGCCCCATGTTGGGTGTAGAGATTTTTTTTTTTTTTTTTAAGCTAAAAAAAAAAAATTTACTAAGTGCTCTTTTCATTATTAATTAACAGATTAATATTCTGTCTTTTCCTTTCTGAACCAATAGGTCTTGGCTGTTCAACCATACTTTCTCCAGAAGGATCAGCTCAGTTTGCTGCTCAGATATTTGGATTAAACAACCATTTGGTATGGGCTAAACTGCGAGCAAGTATATTGAACACATGGATTTCCTTGAAGCAGGCTGACAAGAAAATCCGAGAGGGCAATTTGTAAAACATCATTGCTTTTTTTGTTGTTGTTGTTAAGAAAGACTTTACATTTCTTGTTTAGTTTCAGAAAAAGATCAAGGTGAAAGTTTTTAAATCAAAGAAAACAATTTTTAAATCAAAGAAAACAAAATTTACTAGTGAATAAGGGCTTCTCTAGATTGATGGATCAGTAGACTATGGACATATTAATATTTCTTTATAGGAAGTAAAATTACTATAAGGACACTTTTAAAATCTCTTAGCTACTGTGTAGTCACAAGTAGATAACAAATACATTTCTTAAATGCTAATAATGTCCTATTATAGAGCTCTAAACTACTATTTGACCATCTGTATCTCAACCCATAAGTTTTAAAAAGTTAAAATGTTTGTATCTTAGAGTGATAAGAGCAATATAGTCCTCTTTTACATTATGATCTTTACAAAATCCTAAGGGTGTGGTGTTTTATTTGCAGTCAGTATCTCAAAATAGATGTGTATTTATCCCCACCTATAGACCAAGATCCTGTTTTGTTCTGCTTTTATTTGTTTGTTTAGAGTTGAAATGGGTGTTGGGGGTAGGGAAGACACATGAAATAAGATGAAGGGATATTGTGGAAACCATAGATAGGGGCCTTTTCCAAGAGCTTCTCTGATGGATGTCAGGGCAATTTCCCATGGAGGAAAAAAAAAAAGGTAGAGTCATCTTTGTCATTCCAGATGAAAGACTTGGTAAATCTTAACTTAGCTATAACGGGTGCCTCTGTGGATCATAAAATTCTTTTAATTCTGATAATACATGTTTTAGCTAATCTGACAGCCCTCAGCCTACCACAATTTTCCAAAATTGGAATCTCCTAGTTGATAACCATACTAGTTTCTTTCTTACAACAGCGTAAGTGTGGGCAGGGTACCCAGTAAGATTCACCTCTAAAGGAGCGATTGTTACTGAGAGGTGTTAATAGTTCATCATTAATCTATAAATCATGTTTGGAAATCACTGTTAGAGTATGCAGACCTGAGGACTTTTTTATAGATCACTAAACTTTAATCTGAATGTCTATGAACCCCTTAAACTACCATGTAGAATTTTATGTATGTGTTCGCTTTTGTGGAAAGGGGGCAATCATGGTCTTTATTCAAGGGATTAAAAATGTTAAGAATCTCTGCTGTAGGGATGCCTGGGTGGTTCAGTTGGTTAAGTGTCTGCCTTCCCCTCAGGCAGTAATCCCAGCATCCTGGCATTGAGTCCTGTGTCAGGCTCCTTGCTCAGCAGGGAAACTGCTTCTCCCTCTGCCTGCTGCTCCCCCTGCTTGTGCTCACTCTGTCTCTTTTTCTCTGACAAATAAATAAAATCTTTTGAAAAAACCAAAACACTGTGATCGTGTGGAAAAAAAAAAATCTCTGCTGAAGACAAAATCTTGATAAGATCCTTGCCACTGTCTTACACTGTCCACACCTCTTCACCTTCCTCTGATAGTAGCTTGTTAACAAGCTACTATCTCTTATTACTTCCTTTACCTCATCTCGTGGGGCTGGGTATGATTGTTCTAACCATTCCTTTCTTGGACTAGACACCAAGATATTCCAGCCTTAATACTGGTATTTTTCTTATATTATCCTTTCCCTTTGAGTACTGATATTTCTTCTGTTGAGTCTCTCCATTACTTAGAAGTAATCGTTGGAGTAACTCCTTCAGCTCCAACTAGCATTACTGACTCCTAGGTCTGTGTTTGTAGACTTGTAGTTTGATCTGTACATTTCTCTCTCTGTTTGAATGCTCCAAACTTACTTCATCTGCCATCCAGCCTGTTAACTGACTATATACTCTCTGTCCCAAACCAGAAGTGTTATTTCATCCTTAATGTTTCTCTCTGACAGAGTTCTGAATTTTCCGGTTTACCCATCCTCTGTACAAAAGCCTCAAGTGGGGGTCAAATTCTGCATTATTGGACCGATCTAGGTGGTCTGCATTCTCAACATTTTGAAGTTGTCCAGGGACCTACATCATAAACTGTTAACATCTCTTTTGCAACATAGACTGCTTTGGAAATATGAATGCCCTTGACACTCTCCCTAGAGAATTGCACTCAAAATTTACTAACAGATTCCATTAGTTTCTGCATTCCCTTGAAGCCTATCCATGTTTTGTAGTTTAAGAATCATTGGTGCAGGGGCGCCTGGGTGGCTCAGTTGGTTAAAGCCTCTGCCTTCGGCTCAGGTCTTAATCCCAGACTCCTGGGATCGAGCCCTGCATCGGGCTCTCTGCTCAGCGGGAAGCCTGCTTCTCTTCCTCTTTCTCTCTCTCTGCCTACTTGTGATCTCTGCCTGTCAAATAAATAAATAAAATAAAAAAATAAAAAAATAAAAGAATCACTGGTGCAACCCATCAAGGGAACTTGCTTTCCTCATAATTTTTGGACTATCACTTATCTGTACTTTTAATCTTTTTTTTTTCCTTAATTTTTAGTTTTAGTTTATAAATTCTAGTTAGTTCACATACAGTGCACTATTGGTTTTGGGAGCAGAATTCAGTCATTCATTACTTAAAATACAACACCCAGTGCACAAGATAACAAGTGCCCTCCGTAATACCCATCACTCATTTAGCCCATCCCCAACCCAGGTCCTCCATCAACCCTCAGTTTTTTCTCTATCATTAAGAGTTACGGTTTTTCCCTCTTCCCACCCCCTCATATGTTCATCTGTTTTGTTTCTTAAATCTCACACGAGTGAAATCATACGGTATTTGTCTTTCTCTGACTGGTTTCACTTAGCATGATACACTCTAGCTCCCATGTCACTGCAAATAGCAAGAATTCATCCTTTTGATGACTGAGTAATATTCCATTGTATATACATACCACATCTTTATTCAATGTACTTTTCAGTTCTTAAACTATTAGTATCTATTCTGTCATTAAAATCTGTTACTAGAGCTTCATCTTCACTCTCTCCAGGAAACCTTCCCAAATCCCTTTTTCTTTGTTGAATTGGAAGCTGCAAGAGAGAATAATCTTACACTTTATTTCCTCACATTGCCTTTTGCTTTGGTATGTTATGCCTAGCAATCTGCTAGCCATGGGAGAATTGTAGAAATTACTGCTTCATTCTCTTATATTAGTTCACAAGAAAATTAAAAATAGATGATTTGGGGGCGCCTGGGTGGCTCAGTGGGTTAAAGCCTCGGCCTTCGGCTTGGATCATGGTCCCAGGGTCCTGGTATCAGGCCCTGCATGGGGCTCTCTGCTCAGCAGGGAGCCTGCTTCCTCCTCTCTCTGTCTGCTTCTTTGCCTACTTGTGATCTCCACCTCTCAAATGAATAAATAAAATCTTAAAAAAAAAATAGATGATTTTAACATCTTTTAAACTTTGGTTTTGTGGCCTCTGAATAGTCATTGGCTGCAATTTTAGCTCTTCTTTCTCTACCTGCAAAAATTCCACCTGCTTTGGTGTAGTACATGAGAAATTTCAAAACACATTTAGACTAGTAGATAGGACTGACCGTTTTAATGGTCATTATCAATTTCATTATTAGTTTTTTAGAGTATGTATATCCTCAGTAGGGTAGTTTCATTAATACTAGAGAAAATACTTGCTTGAAAGTGTTTTAACTGTTAGATTAATTTATGCAAACCTACCTGGTTTGCCATCTTTGGGTGATTATACTTTCTTTGGGCTTGTAGGTGAACATAAAAAGGAAGAAACATTTGTCCCAGGTAATACAGTACTATACTTTGTATCATAAAGGCATGCTTACAGTTGCTGTTGCTTTAAAGCCTTCTGAAATGTAAACACTGTAGCCAAATAAAAGACAAAGATGTGTGAATCTTTATTCATTCATCTATTCATGAAATAACATGGTTTGCCTGGTTATTCTAGGCCCTAGGAAAGCAGCACTGAACAGAAACAGAACCCCCACTGTCACAAAAATCTTACTGGGGCTAACAAACCATAAAAGATGTCTTAAAAGTATAAAAGATGTCATAAAAATATAAGTGCATATGGAGAATAACCAACATGATAGAACAGTGCTGGGGATGAGGAAGGTTTTTGCAAAGAATAGAGCAATGATGTAAAAGCAAGCCATACAAAAATGTGGCGAAGTACACAGACTGGGTGCAGGAAGGAAAACAGCTCTGCCTTTTTGAGGAGGTTCTCAAACACGCCACTATTGCTGGAGCTCTGGTGAGCAAAGGTAAGAATGGAAGATGATGTAAGTAAAGGCTAGATCACTTAGGACCTACAGGCCACACTGAAGTGTGAAAGAAAAACCACTGGAAAGTTTGAGTAGGGGCATGACATGACCTATTTAACATGTTTTTAAAGTTCTCTGGCTATTGTGTGGACAAGCAAGGAGATTGGTTAAGGATCTATTACAAGTCCAGGTGGAGGATGATGTGACCTTCAGTAAATTACTTTTTTTTTTTTATGCCTCTACTTCCAAGTGTAAAATAAGACTAATAATACTCCCTCCCTCATACTGTTAGGAGAATTAAATGAGTCAACATATGTAAAGTATATCCTGACATGAATACGCTATGTAATATCCCGTTTGGTAAACTGTAGAAGACGGTATGAGTGGAACTGACTTGCCATGAAAATCACCTTGAATTTAATATTCCCTTCAGTTGATTTCATTTCTAAACAGGAAAAAAGGACAGAAAATCAGCATAATATGGCTTATCCACACATCTTCAGCCCAGCAGTTCTTGGGAAGCCAGAGTGAATTTTTTTTTTAATTTTATTTATTTATTTGACAGAGAGGAGAAGCAGGTGGAATAGCAGGCAGAGGGAGAGGAAGAAGCAGGCTCCCTGCTGAGTAAGGAGCCTGACACGGGCTTAATCCCAGGACCCTGGGATTAGGACCTGAGCTGAAGACAGTTGCTTAACCAACTGAGCCACCCAGGTGCCCCAGGAGTGAAAATATTTAATGGTGCTTTTTGCACCATCCCCATGACCTCAAAATACTTGGCATGGAGTTGTTCACTTAGCATTGTGGGCCAGTGAAAACAGCAGTAGAATGGAAATGAAAAGATTTCACTGGGTACATTACTGTGAGCTTCATTTGTAAGGTACAACTAAATATGTTTTCTGCCTGCTTCACAGAGTGGATAAAATGACAAGATACTGTACACGGAAGCTTCTCAGAAATCAAAAGTAGCTAAATGCATGGTGCAAAAAAGTAAGGATTTGAGTACCAGTTATGTGCAAGAACCTGGGGATGTAGCAATGAACGAGATCCAATTTCTGCCCTCAATGAATTTTGGAGTCTTTCAGGGGCAGACAATTTTAAAACACTACATTGTCTTAATATGGAGTAAATGGTCAGGGATTCTGAGTACACAAAGAAGGCAGGAATTTAAAGAACAAATATATATTGTGAATGAATGTACTCTTTGTATACAGAGTTGTCTTATTTTTTAAATTGTATCCCTAGCAACCAATATATGCCAGATGCTAACACAGACGAAGTATTTAGTGAATATTTGTTGAGTGAATAAATGTGCAAAATCCCATAGGTATAGCAACAAAGAACCACACATAACTAAATGTCAAAGGAGTATTACATGCAAGGGGACTAGGGAGTGAGTAACAGAAGACCTATGTGGGTTGGGGAGATAGAAAGTAGAGGCCAGGGGCACCGGGGTGGCTCAGTGGGTTAAAGCCTTTTTCTTCGGCTCAGGTCATGATCCCAG